ATGATGATGATGATGATGATGATGATGATGATGATGATACATATGATGCATATGCTGATAGTGGTGGTGATGATGCTGGTACTGATGATGATGCGGATGGTATTAATGATGATGATGCTGCTGCTGATGATGATGACTTGCTGACGATGCTGATGACGACGATGACGATGTTGCTGATGCTGCTGATGATGATGATGATGATGCTGAGGCTGATCATGGTGATGATGCTGATGATGATGGTTATGGGGATGAGGCTGAGGATGAGGATGAGGATGATAATGAGGACGATTATCATGATGAGGATGATGGGGATGATGAGGCTAGTGAGCATGATTAGGATGTTGTTGATGGTCATGATGCTGATCGTACTGATGCTGATGGTGATGATGGTGATGGTGGTGATGCTGCTGATGATGATGCTGTGAATGATGATGATGATGATGATGATGATGATGATGATGATGATGATGATGATGATGATGATGACGATGATGATGATGATGATGATGATGATGGTGGTATTGATGATGATTATATTGATGCTGCTGCTGCGGCTGACGATGGTGAAGATGAGATGCTGATGATGAGGCTGACGATGCTTAGGACGATGACGATCATGTTGACGATGCTGATGATAATGACGAACACGATGCCAATTATGATGACCATGAAGATGATGCTAATGACGATAATGATAGCGACGACGCTGGTGATGATGATGGTGATGATGATGCTGATGATGATGGTGATTGTGATGATGGTGATGGTGGGATGATGTTGCTGATGATTATGATGCCAGTGATGATGATGGTGATGATGTTGGTGTTTGTGATGCTGATGGTGATGGTGACTGTGTTGATGTTAATGTGGGCGATGGTGTGGATGACAATGAACGGTGGTGGTGGACGGGTAATGGTAATGATGCCCATGATGCGAGGAGGGTCAGGACGAGGAGGAGGAGGAAGGAGGAGGATAGATATGGGGGAGCCTCATCCCCCCTGCCTGGCCCTGCCTCCGCCACCTCCTTCCTCCGTTTTCTCATTTGCCCTCATCCCCCATATGCTTGGCCCTTCCTCCGCCACCTCCTTCCTCCTTTTCCTCTTTTGCCTCTCCCACATGTCATGCCTCCATCTTCTCCTCCTCCTCCTCCTCCTCCTCTTTCTCCTCTCCTCCTCCTCCTTCCTCCTCCTCCTCCACCCTCCTCCTACCCTGCCTCCGCCTCCTCCTTCTTCTTCTCCTCCTCATCCGCCTCCTCCTCCTCCTCCTCCTCCTCCTCCTCCTCCTCCTCCTCTCCGCCTCCGTCCCCCCCTGTCGCCGCATCCTTCTTCCTCTTCCTGTTCCACAATATGCGACCTGCATCCTACCTTGCCTCCCTGGGCGCTACCAGGGGCTACCGATTGCGCAACTGTCGCCGCTTTCGTAAGCTTCTGGCAGATCCAGTGGATTGCGAGGCCACGCAGATCCAAACGAGACCTCTTCTCCCTGGGTGAGCTCCTCAGAGCTCCGCCGTAGTGTTGCCCTCAGTTGCCACCTTCGTGGGCTCCTCAGAGTCCAGGCGTAGTGACGTCCTAAGCAGATCCACGCGAGACCTCGTCTTCCTGGGTGCTGCCAGGTGCGCCACCCTCGCCGCTTTTGTGAGCGCCAGGTTGCTCCAGTGGAGTGCGGGTCTACGCAGATCCGCACGAGACCTCGCCCGCCTTGGTGCTGCAAGCTACGCAGCAGCCGCCGCTGTCGTGAGCGCCTGGGCGCTCCAGTGGAGTGCGGGCGCACAAGACCTCGCCGCCCTGGCTGCTGCAAGCCGCGCAGCTGTCGCCACTTTCTTGGGCCTGCCAGGGCACGGCCCGCCACCTGGAGGGGTGCCTGAAGTGCCCCTGGCCCACGGAGCTCCCACCGTTTCGCACCACATCGGGCCCCTCCGGGAGCTGTGGGAGCCTCTTGAGGGGGCTTCTCTGGAGCGTGCTCTTTTATTGCTTGGGACAGCCCCCTCCCCCCCCCTCCCCCCACCCCTATAACGTAACGCCCCTCCCCCCCCAGTGCGCTCAGGGCACTGTCGCCGTGCGCATCGGGCAAACGGCGGGGGGAGGCGTTTCATTATGACCCCCCTCAGCCTCCCCCCCCCCTATATAATGCCCATCATCGCCGAAAATAAAGACACGCGCTCCTGGAAGCCACCTTGGGCTCCCCTGGAATCCTCGGGGTCACCCTGGCCGTTGTCGCCTGGGTCGCCCGCGGGTGCTCGAGGAAAGACATCGCGCCTCCGCGTGCCGCGCGGCCCTGGGCCAGAGCGGCTGCCCTTCTCCGGCGGGGGCGGCGCGAGGGCGCGAGGGCGCGAGGGCGCGAGGGCGCGAAGAGGACCGCGCGTCGTGCACTGTTCATCGGGAGGGAAAAATACACACAGACGCAATTAATCGTCGGTTCCCCAGAAGATATGGGAAACTATGGGAAGTGGGGGGGAAGACGAAAACCCAGAAAACATGATAAGATATGGGGAATTATTTATTTGTGTGTATTTATTTGTGTGTCCCAGGGTCCCTCAGCTCCGGCGATCGCAAACATGTATCAAGGGGACGTGGATCAGCGACGGGTGCCGCTCCCATGGGAAGTCGCGGACTTCCGCCGCCGAACGAGGCGGCACCCGCCGCCTCTCGGGGAGGGCACCTCCCCCGATGCACGGCTTTGGCGGCCGCGCGCCAGAACCACTGATCGCTCATCCGTGTCTGCGCGCCCCCCCCGGATTGTGGGGCGCGGCGGCGCGAACCCAGACGGACGGCTGCTCCAATTTGTTGCATGCGTGGGCCTTGGAGGTCCCGACCATTTCCCCAGGGCTGGCTGTTCGTCCTGAGCAGGGTTTTGACGCTCCCGAGGCCCGGCGAGAGTCCCCAGAGGCCGAAAACGGCCAAAAGCCGCCCACCCCAATTCGGTTTGGAGCGTCGGAACTCCAGGAAGTTGGGTGACCTGGATCACTCTTCGACCTCGTCTTCGTCGTCGTCTTGTTCGTCGTCGCCGTCGTCTTCGTCGACGTCGACGTCGACGTCGACGTCGTGGTCGTGGTCGTGGTCGTCGTCGTCGTCGTCGTCGTCGTCGTCGTCGTCGTCGTCGCCAGTTCCAACGGGGAGCGCACAGGGAAAAGAACGAGGAACGAACAGGGAAAAGAAACGCCGTAGCTAAGTCGATTCCCTCCCCCGCGACAGAGGCCGCGGCAGGGGCCGCGGAGCTGGAGCGGCACCTAGCTCCTCCGCCTCCTCCTCCTCCTCCTGGCGCGTGGAGCTGCTGGGGACGAGGGCCCCGGAGCCTCCGCCGCACGGGGGCAGCAAAGAAAGCAGCGGGGCCCCAGAGGCCCGCACGCCCTTGACGCTCGCGAGGCAGCACGCCCGCGGGCCGCCGTGGGGTGCGCCGCCGCGGGTCCCCCGAGGGTCTGCAGCTTCGCCGCTCGCCTGCCCCTCCTCTCGTCGTCTCCTTCCTTCCCCCCCCTCCGTCCTCCTCCCTCCTCCTTCCCTCCTGCCTCCTCGCTCCTCCTCGTGCCTCCCTCCTCCTCCTCCTCCTCCTCCTCCTCCTCCTCCTCCTCCTCCTCCTCTCCTCCTCCTCCTCCTCCTCCCTATCCGTCTCTTCCCTTCCCCTTCCCCTGCTGCTGCTGCTGCTGCTCCTCCTCCTCCTTTTCCTCCTCCTCCTCTTTCCTCTTCCTCCTTCTCCTCCTCCTCCTTTTTTAACGTTGCTCGGACTCGGTGTGCTAGCACGAATCCTTCTCCTCCTCCTCCTCCTCCTCCTCCTCCTCCTCCTCCTCTTCCTCCTCCCTCTCCTCCTCGTCCGCTCTCCCGGACCCTCTTCCTCTTCCGCCTCCTCGTCGTCTCAGCCTTCCTGTCCTCTTCCTCGCCTCCTGCTCCTGCCGCCGCTGCTCTCCCTCGTTCCCCCCCCCCCCGGCGGGCAGGACAACATGGCGAAGTGCTGCGAGGGCAGGCACCCCGAGATCGTGGACTGCCGCCAGGGGCCTCCAGAGACGCCCCGCTGATGCGGAGGAGGGCCGGTCGAGACGTCGGCGGCCTTCCTGGACGAGGGGAGGAAGGAGCGGGCGGGGAAGCAGCGCGCGGGGGTTGGGCGCGGAGATGGTGATGATGCTGATGATGATGAGGAGGATGAGGACAAGGAGGAGGATGACGATGACGGTGATGATGATGATGCTGTTGATGATGCTGCTGATGATCATGGTGGTGATGATGACGATGATAATGGTGAGAATGATGAGTATGATGATGAGGATGATGATGGTGGTGAAAGTGATGGTGATGGTGGTGATGATGATGACGATGAGGATGAGGAGGAGGAGAAGGATGATGTTGATGATGGTAATGATGGTGCCGATGGTGGTGATGATGCTGCTGTTGATGATGCAGCTAATGATGATGACGATGATGATTATGATGATGGTGACGATGATGCTCATGGTGATGCTGCTGATGATGCTGGGTGTGCTGCAGCTGATGAGGCTGATGTGGTTGTTATTGTTGTGGACGGCGACGATGACGATGATGTTGATGCTGGTGATGATGATGCTGATCATGATGATGATGATGATGCTGATGATGATGATGATGATGACTAAGTTGCTGCTCATGATGATGGTGGTGCCGATGATGTGATGATGATGCTGATGGTTGCGGTGATGATGATGATGATGATGATGATGATGATGATGATGATGATGATGATGGTGATGGTGATGGTGATGGTGATGGTGATGATGACGATGGTGGTAATGATGCTAATGCTGATGATGCTGCTGATAATGTTGGTGATGATGATGATGCTGATGCTGTAACTGATGGTGATGGTGTTGTTGTTGTTGACGACGATGATGATGACGTTGCTGCTGCTGATGCTGGTGGTGGTGCTGATGATGATGCTGCTGCTGGTGATGATGTTGCTGATGGTGGTGGTGATGATGAGGATGATGGTGATGAGGCTGCTGATGATGAGGATGATGAGGAGGAGGTTGGTGGTGAGGATGATGATGCTGATGACGGTGATGGTGTTGTTGTCGACGATGACGATGATGATGGTGGGGGCAGGGAGGGTAATGGTAGAGATGGTGATAAATAGTATTGGTGTCCAGGTGGCGAAGAGGTAAGGGAGGGACCGGAGGAGAAGGAGGAGGAGGGGGAGTCGATGGAGAGGAGAGGAGAAAGATGAGACAAAGGAGGAGGAGGAGGAGGAGGAGGAGAGGGGGGATCATGTCAGCCAGGGAGTGTGAGGAAGGTGCGCAGACGAAGCGTGAGCGAGAGAAGGAGGCAGGAACGACTACAAGCCTTCCCTTGTCACAGCGAGGCTCCCCCCTTGGAAGAGTCCATCACCCTCCGGGCCCGCCGCTCTGGCGAGATCCCCCGTTTTGAAGAGGGACTGCCCCGCATCCTTGTAGCGCGTGGTCAGGATTGCCGAAGCTCGGCGGCGAGCGAGGGGGGAAGTGAGAAGGGGCGGGCCTTTTCTGAAGGCTCGGAAGTCCCCCAGGCTTGTGAGGAGTTTTCTAAGCCTTGCCCGGAGACAGAACAGAACCTCTCAGAAGGGGCGAGGGCTTCTGAGCAGTCCCGCCGCCTTCTGAGAGGGCATTCTTCTTCCCACCTCCCCCCCTCGCTCGCCGCCGAGAAGCGGTATGACCACACATTCTTTCAGCGAGGTCTCTGGCGAGGCCCCCGTTTTGAAAGAGGACCGCTCCCCATCCGCGCACCCGCTGCGCAGTCTTCCGCGTCTTGCCACGACCTTCGAGGAAGTCTCGAGCTAGGGCCCCCATATCAAGGGAGGAAAAAGCACCTGGACCGGACAAGTGGCGTTTCGTAAACGGCCTTGGGCGTTTACGAAACAGCCTTGCCCTGTTCGGTTCCTTCAGTGGGGGCGTTTAGTAAACGGCCGCGCGTATCGGCCACCTCTCCTCCTCCTCCTCCTCCTCCTCCTCCTCCTCCTCCTCCTCCTCCTCCTCCTGGTGGTTATTCTGGGGGTGGATTTGTTGCCCCCTACTACATGCGCCGCCCTCCCCCCGTGCAGCTGCCGCACCTGTGGAAGCTCCCGGTCTCGAGGAGGAGCCTGCCTCCTCCTCCTCCTCCTCCTCCTCCTCCTCCTCCTCCTCCTCCTCCTCCTCCTCCTCCCTCTTCCTCCTCCTCCTCCTCATCCTCCCCCTCCTCCTCCCTCTTCCTCCTCCTCCCTGCTGCAGGGTTGCAGCGGATGTGCGCGGCGCGGAGGCGAGATCCGCACCTTGGAAAGCAGCCGCCCTCCATATGCTCGTGGCCGCCTCCGGCCTATACAGGTCGAGGGTGCGCGGCGCCGAGGCGAGAGCCCCTGCTCGATGCCGCCTCCGTCCGCGCAACGCCTCGTCCCCCTCCTCCCGCTCCTCCTCCTCCTCCTCCTCCTCCTCCTGCTCCTCCTCCTCCTCCTCCTTTTCCTTCTCCTCCTCCTCAGCCTCCTCCTTCTCCTCCTCCTCCTCCTCAGCCTCAGGATCAGAGGTGGCGAGGAAGTCTCCGTCGGAGCCGGCCCGCCCCGCTGGCACGCCCTGGGGGTGCGGCAAGGAGGAGCTTCGCATGAGGCAGAGGGGATGGGAGAGGGAGGCAGGGGAGAGGAAGAGGAGAGGGAGGCAGAAAGGGAGAACGAGGAGGAGGAGTGAGGAGGAGGGAGGGAGGAGGGAGGGAGCGAAAAGGAGGGAGGGAGAATGAGGAGGCCGCTGGAGTCTCAGCTGGCCCCCCACCCCCTTGGCCGAGGAATTCGCGAGAGCCAGCGTCTCTCTGGCCCGCGGCCGGTCGGCCCAGGGACAATCCAGCCCTCCTCCTCCTCCTCCTCCTCCTCCTCCTCCTCCTCCTTCCTCTCCTCCTCCTCTTGCTTGTTTCCTCTCATACTTCGCCTCCCCTCCTCCCCTCCTCCTCATCCTCCTCCTCCTCATCCTCCTCATCCTCCTCATCCTCATCCTCATCCTCTCTCATCTCCTCCCCTCTCATCCCCTCCTTCTCCCTCTCCTCCTCCTCTTCCTGCTCCTGCTTCCCCCTCCTTCTACCCCTCCCCCTCCCCCTACTCCCGCCCGCCTCCTCCTCCTCCTCTTCCTCCTCCTCCTCCTCCTCCTCCTCCTGCTCCTCCTCATCATTATTTTCTTCTCCTCCTCCTCCTCTTCTCCTCCTTCTCCTCCTCCCCCCTCTCCTCCTCCGTCCCTTCTCCTCCTCCTCCTCCTCCTCCTCCTCGTCTTCCTCATCCTGTTTGCCCCCTCCTCCTTCCGCCCTCCGTCTCCTCCTCCTTCTCCTCCTCCCGCTCCTCCTCCTCCTCCTCCTCCTCCTCCTCCTTTTCCTAGCCGCCCTGGCACAGGTCCCTTCACATTCCCTGCGCGGCTTCAGGGAAGTGTGTTCTCCCCTACCCAGCGCCATCCTGCCCCTCCATATAGGCACTCCCCGTCGCCGCGCATGCCTGCCGCCATGCATACACATCTCTTATCTTTCGTTTTTATTGTGCACAATGTTACGTCCCTTGTGCTGAGTAGCAGGGCACTGGAGATTTCTGAATCATATCAGACCAAGGGCATCGCTTCATTTACTGGTACAATACGACAATGGCAAAGTAATGGACAATGTGCGACTATCTCAGATCTTTCTGCTCACGTTCGTAATTGGGGATCTGGAAAGGGGCCGTCGGTTTCCTCTTACACGGGAGTGCAGATTCAACGTTGGCGGAGGCTTATCCGACTAAGACATATTGCGCAGACGCACTCACTGCCCGCAGGACTACAAGGACAAATGGGAGCGGTGGAACTACGGTCACGAAGCCTCCATATGGTGATGATTGTGGCCCATATCCCTGTCAGTCCTTGGGTGGTGAAGGTGGCGAAGGAAATGCTCATGAACAAAAAGACAGAGAAGCAGATGCTTGACTGGATGGATCAGATATGTAGATATCAATTGAAGCAGTGCCCGACAGTCTATGGCGGAAATATCAATGATAATGCAGGTGTGCATGGCGAAGATGGAGGAGGAGTTCATGGAGGCGAAGGAGGAGGAGGTGAGCAAGCTATACCCGAGGGACCCCCTGAAGTCCCACCAACACCAGTTTGGGTATGTGAGGAGAATCCTGCTGGATTGCGGCGACCTCAACGGGAGCACCATTGCATGACATGGCCGAAAGAGTTCATGGATATATATATATATATATGTATAGATATATATATATATATATAGTCTATGTCTTGCCAACACCTGCTTTGGAGGTCACGAAACCATTCATGGTTGAGTTTTGAGTCCAGGCATTGACTACCGTGGAGTTTCCAGAGCATGGTTTACGATAGTGGTTGAATTTTGTATATTGAACAAGCATGGGCGAAGACCCCAAATGGCACCAGTGCAGCGGGAATGGGAGCACTATCCACTGTAAGTACAAGCCATATATATTATTGATTTCTCTCGTGGTGGGTGCACACTGTGCATTCAATGGAGCTTAGATACTCTCGTCAAAGGTGTTGTGAATGGACTATGGCGATATAGTATCCGTATGGAAGAGGAGGGTCATGGCTGTCAGTCCTTGTCGTGGTGGAAGCAATATGAAGAGCTTGCTACCCCTGATGAAGCGCGGCAACACCTGGTGAGAGAGGTTCAGCAGATTGCACTTGGTTGTCCCCACAAATATTCAGAGGGAGATCAGAACCATCGCGAGGCTCGACGGCAACAGCGAGAACTGGTCAAATGGCGTGCTATTTTGCGTAAGAAAATGGGATCCCTTGGCACCGAGGCGCAGATTGATGAGATTACAAGTCTGCATCAACAGCTACAACTAAAGGTATCGACCAAGTACCTTCACAACGCCAAGGAGCAACATCAGCAAGCGCAAATTGACAGCTTGGGGGAGCAGGTTCGACATGCGTAGCAACAGCGTGGTCACAGTGTAGTTCACAAGATGGCTTGGCGAATGGCTACTACCATTGTGGGGCATAGGCGGCGTTTCTACGACACCCTGCTATTGTCGAGCCCCACGGTGGCGATGTGGACTCAGCATCTGGAGCAGCCAGGAAAGCAGGGGGGACAGCGAGCACAGCAGATTCCTGATATTGATGCGCTTCCATCACAACGTTATACCCGACACGACGGACAGCGCCTATGGAACCCTACAATCAAGGACGAAGTGGAGCGTGATCTCAGTGGTATGTGGGCAACAATCATGAGGCTGTGCCTATTGCAAAAGTGTTCCGCCATGGTCTTTGCTTGTGGGAAACTTCCGTACGCTACGTAACCTGACTATGCGCGGCACGATGTATAAGGACCAGCAGAGAGAGTTGGAGGCACGCATTTATGTTATGAACTTAGATACCCTTGTCAAAAGTGGTGAGCATGGACTATGGCGAAGCAGGTTCCGTAAGGAAGTGGAGGATTTTCGTGGAGGGAAAGTACGTGGCTCACCAGTGAAGGGCGCCATAGGGTCGAGAGGCGCAGCAGCATTGGGTCCGAAGCCAGAAGGTGAGCTCACGGCCATGGACACGGAGGTGCTGGACGGCTATGGCACGGAGGATAAGACGGCGGTCAACAGCCTGAACCAGGTGATGAATGCCTGGCAGTGTACAAGGGCATCGGAGGGATGTATGATCAGTAAGCACGCGATAGACAAGGACTGCGTTCTCAATACGCACGCGATTGGAGCAGCACACCAATTCATGTGCATAGTGGAAGAGGATTCGAGTGCAGTGATGGGCCCCCCTGTCACACATGGTGGCCATGGCGGGGCTGATGGCATTGGTCGCACAGCAGGCTGTGAAAGAAGCTCAAGGTATTCAAGCAAAAGTAGCAGGCCTACCTCCCTGGTCGAGATGCTTCGAAGGGAGAAGATGGATATAGATGTGGAGTACACCAAGTATTGGCGAGCGAAGACCATGATTGCGAAGGAAGGGGGAGGAGGCCAAACATCGTCACTCGTGCTACAGTCATGCCTTCGTGCAGACAAGGGATTCGCCCAACATGTGGATTGTGCCTACCAATCCCCTGGTCACCAAGCGCCTCATGAAGCTGGGGCTAGTGATGAAGCCAGGCCCTCAGCCGCGAGGGGGCCCCGAGAGCAAGCTCCAGAACGTCCTGGCGAAAATGCTGAGAGGAGGCCAGGCCAACGGTGATAGGAGTGAGGTTCTGAGGAGCTCTGAGGGAAGCTGGTGGCAGCAGTAGTCAGTCGTTAGGACCTGTCATTGTTTTAGAGTTTTAGAAATTGGGGGACCCAGGCAGTTTGCTCCTGAGCAGGACTGAGTTTAGTTTTTGGGCTCCTGGGCCCATCCCGATTGCCTGCCAAACGTAGGCCCTGAAAGGGCTAACGGAATGGTAGAGATAGAGGCCTGTCATAAGAGCTGGGGCCTCTCCTTGATCTTTGTGGCGTGTCCTCGCCTGCCTCCGCCTTCTTGCTCCCTCTGTGTGGCTCCCTCCCCCTCCCTCTCGCTCCGTGTTGTGTGTGTGTGTGTGCGTGCGTGCTGGGACGCTGAACTTCTCACTCTTGGGATTCAGTGCCACTGCGCATTACTCGAGATGATTTCGTTAGGCCTCTCGACCCTAACGGTTTCTATGGTGTTCCCCGATTAGGAATCTAGTCGCGACGGGAGTGCGACTTGCAAGTTTCGCGAGGGGAGCTTCCCCCACTATGCGCACAGCGGTCAATAGCAATTTCATAATCAATGCAGACTCGACCAGGGGCTGAGTACCACCACCCACCACTCCCTTTTCCTCCTCCGTCCTCCTCTTCCATCCCTTTTCCAAACCAATCAGTTTTTCCTCTCTCACCCCGAGGCGTGCCGGTAGGGCGGGCTGGTCATTTCGTCTGAGACGTCCACATCACTTGTGATCCTCAAGCTGAGCATTTGCTACCAGTTCGCAGATCGAGGGCGGGACGTCTTCAAAAGGCGGCAGTCGTTTTGACGCCGCGCACAGTCGTCCGACGACGGGGGGCGGGCCGGTCTCAACATGTGACCCTCGCCTGAGCGCCGCGCACCGTCGCCCTACAAGGTGGTAGCAGCTTCGCGGATGGAGGGCTGCAATTTTTTTTCAACTTTGGCTCTCGCCTCGGCGCCGCGCACATTCGTCTCCACTTCAGAGTTGTTTGAAGAACTATCATGGTTGACGTTCCAGGAGGCGTTTCCGGGCACGATGCAGGACGTTCAGGGCGAACGGGTTACGTTGCTTCGCGGTGTTGGACTTCCAGAAATGGTGTTCTGGCACGGTTCTGGATCTTCACGACGCGGCGTTGGAATCCCAGGAATGGCGTTCTGACGCGGCACAAGTTTTTCAGACGGTTGTCTTCCAGCAGGACATTTGCCTGAGTGGGACTGAACCTTTGTAGGGACCTATGCAGAGGGAGCTTAACAGGAGGGTTTGTTGCAACATTGTTGATCAGTCTTTGGTTTGCACTGGGCCTCCTCCTCCCTTTCCTCCTCATCCCCTCCTTCTTCCTCTGTTTCGCTTCCTCCTCCTGCTTCCCTCGCTCCTCCTTCCCCCATTTCCTCCATCCTCCCCTCGTTCTCCTCCTTCTCCTCCTTCCTCTCCTCCTCCTTCCTCCCCCTCCTGTCCTCCCCTCTCTCACCCCCTTTGTGTTTGTTTCCTCTCTTATCTTCCCCTCCTGCCTTCACCCCGTTTCCTTCTGAATGACTCCTCCGTGTCGCACCCCGAGACTTGTCGGTAGGGTGCGCCGGGCGTTTCGCCTGAATCTTCCTCACCGCTTATGACCCTTAAGCTGAAACTTTGCACCAAGTTCACGGATAGAGGACGGGACGTTGTCAACATGTGGCTCTCGCTTTAGCGCCACGTACACTCGTCTTAAACATTTGCAAGATCTTCTCAGATGGAATGCGGGCCTTTTTCAAATATTCCCGCTTCAGCGCCGCGCGCATTCGATTTTAAAGGGTGCATGAGCTTTGCGGATGGAGGGCGTGCCGTTTTCAACAGGTGGTTCTCGCTGTAGGACCGCGCTCGTTCGCCGTTCAGGTTAGCAAGGATTTCACGGACGCAGGGCATCGCCTTCTCAAATTTAGGCTCCTGCCTTAGCACCACGCACCTTCGTTTGGGAAGCTCACATAAGCTTCGAGGATTATCATGGTTGTTGGCGTCCTCAACTCATGCGCTTTTTACACGACGTAGGACTGTCAGGGCGCAACAGCCACGTTGATTCGTGTTGCTTCAGTCCCAGGAAAGCTGTTCTTTCGCGATTCCGGATCGTCAGGACGCAACAGTATATATATATATATATATATATATATATATGCTTGCCGTTAAGTCTTGGCGTTTAAGTCGCGGGGCTGGTATTTTGGCACTGTTCCGGATTTTCAGACGGTTGTCTTCCAGCGGGGTCTTTCCCTCAGTGAAAACAAGTCCGTGCAGGGACCTGTGAAGAGGGAACTGGAGGGGTTTGTTGCACCATCGCTGCTGAGTCGTGGACTCTGGCAGGGGGCCTCCCTTAACGTCAAATCATGTCGCAAGGATGAGTGAACAACCATCCAAGGCTGCCCTTGCATCCTTGCCCCTTCGGCCCATCCTTGGCGACTTTCGCTGGCCAGCCCAGCTCGAGAACGGCAACGTGATCCTCCAAGGCCCTCGTGTCCTTACCGTGCCTCCTTACTGCGCGACCTGACTGTACCCCCCTTCCTTCGTATGCAACTCCTGGGAGGTCAAATTCTGGTTTTGCCCTGGTCCAGAATCCGAGTACATCCGCTTCATCCCATTTAATCTGTCTTAATCCGGCTGAATCCAATTCAACCCCGCTGAATCCGAGGCCCAATCCGGCGTTACAGCCCCCCAGTGAGGCCTAATCCTCCCTAGTCTTTCCGACGAAGGTCTCCCAGTAGTTGCCTCCCAACCTTCCCTCCTCCAACACAAGAGCCGTGCCCCAGGTCCCTCGCGGGGGCGCGGAGTGCGCAAGGGGGCGGCGCCGTCGCCGATCCGAGAAATCCGCGCGGAGCTCGGGAAATTCATGCTTATTTTCAATTTTGGCGTGCCCCTCCACAGGAGAACTGTTTCAACATAGTCAAACAAAAACGTCTGGGACGATTTTGTTGACTGTATTGGACTATTTTTGGGCATGGCCTTTTGTTTGTTGTTTCTTGCAAAATTCGCCAGCATGAGGACATGCCTGGTCTACGCTTATTTCATTGTTTGCCATGGGGGAAGCGGGACCTGAGGGGAAAGGGTCCTGAGGTTTGTTGGCAGTTCTCAGGCTCTCGGGGTTCTCCGCGGGCCCCGGGACTGGCCGAAGACGGCTCAGGACGGAGATCTCGTCTTGGGGGAAGGCCTCAGGGTCCAGGACCCTTTCCCGCAGGACCTGTTTCCCCCATGCTAAGGCGTCCCGGTTTGTTCGGGGCGTGGCTCTCGAGAGGTCTGGGACCCTTCGCCAGGACAAGCTTCGCCCGAGCCGTCCGTGCTCGGACGGTCCTTGGGTCCAGGCCCCTAGCCAACCCCAGACATGTCCGTCGCGTTTTCTTCTCTCACGGCGCGGGGGATGTCGGGAAGGTCTGCCTGGCTGCTTCTCATCCCCGCCCTCCCCCCTCCTCGGTTTCGAATCGGTTTTCGCCTACAGAGTTTATGTACCCCGAAGTTAGTTTTCTGGTCGAGCCTTTGGGCAACATACGTAGAATAGCCCGTAGATCTACGGAGCACTGTAGGTATGCTTCGTGCATTCGGCGGGGCATCAATCTTGGGGCAAGTCGATCCTGCAGTCGATCCCCTCCTCGAGGCTTGTCAGGGGTGGCCGGCCTCCGCGCGGCTCGTCGCCCCCTCCCCTCGGCGGCTGGCAGGGCCTGCGGGTTTCGGCGCGCGGCGCCGAGCTCGGGCGCTCCCGGGCCAAAGCGCCTGGCCGGAGCTCGATGGCAAAGCGACTCGAGCCTGTTGGCGCGCCCTGGACGCCCTCCGGCAGACGCCCAGCGTGCGTCTCGACGGCCGTCGGGGCAGAGCTCCGCAGTCACCGCCCGTCAGACCACCGCAGCCCGGCCCGAAGGCCTCCACTGTTGCGCCCCCCCCCCCTTCCCAGTCTGGGGAGGGGGGGGGGCGTCGGGCAGCGTGGAGCAAGCACACGTGGAACCCTCTACCTCCCTCCCCCTTATAAGCCCGAAACTTGGGTCTTCGGGTTGGGTTGGGGTGGTCCGGCAGGCAGTCATCCAGCCACGTTCGGACGCCGTGCGGGGCCCTCGCCGGGCCCCCGGGGCCGTCAGGAGACGGCTTGCGGGAGGAGGACCCGGCCCCGGGGAGAGGGTCCTAGGCTCCCAGAGGCCCCCCGCGCCGACCTGAGATCGAGGCACCGGGCGTCTCGGGATGCGGGTCGGGCCGAGGCATCAGATCGAGGTCGGCTCGGGGAGGGGGCCCTAATGCTCGTCGTGCTTGTTGGGTCTCCTTGTGCATTCCGGGGAGGGTACTCATCGAGGACACAGGCGAGCCCCTAACGCTACTTAGCAACAGAGTGAAGCCGTGGCCTCACTTCTAGCTCCCCTTCCTGGGTGGTCTGGTCTGCGGCATCTGCAGAAAAGACCCCCCCTCTCCCTCATTTTTCTGGCCCTGCCATCTCAGGTCCCCTCCCAGACATGCGACGTCCTGATGCGACATGCGACGTCCTGATTGTTTCAATTCGGGCCCCCTGGAAGTCCCGACTCTCTGCTCGGGGCCGGTTTTCCGTCCTAAGTCGTTATTTGGCGCTCCCGAGGCCCGCCGAGGGCCCGCCGAGGCCGAAAGCCGAAAACTGCCCAGAACCTCCCGTCCTGATTTTTGTTCACGACGCGATCATGTCTGGTGTGCTCCTCAGGTGCCCTTGAGTGTCCTGCCGCTTTAGGCGGGCGGGAAGGCGTTTGTCCTCGAAGGCCGTGCTTCTGTCCTGGGTCTGGCCGTGGGGCCCGAGGCGCTGCAGGAGGCCCGCGTGATGGGCCTGTTTTCCACCACCACCACCATTAGTTGGAGGGGGGAAGGAGGAGGACGAGGAGGAGGAGGACGAGGAGGAGGAGGAGGGACGAAGAGGAGGAGGAGGAGGAGGAGGAGGAGGAGGAGGAGGAGGACTCCCTTCCCCTCCAACTTATGGCGGTGGTGGAAAACAGGCCCATCACCGCGGGGAGCAGGCGGAGGCCGTCCGGCCAAGGCACCTCGACGTATGCCATGCGAGCGCCGGCTGCCGGGGGTCACGGCGGGGAGCGGCGCCCCGCTTCAGGCAGTGGCGAAGCGTCTTGGCTCGCCTACTTAGGCCCACCTAGGAATGTTCTAAGAACCGTTTGTTGATGGGCTTGCTTTCCACCGCCAGCACCATAGGTTGGATGAGGAGGATGAGGAGGAAGAAGAGGGGGAGGAGGACCCCCTCCCCCTCCAATTTGTGGTGGTGGTGGAAAACAGGCCCATCATTTGTGGGCTGGGACTGACTCGTTTCAGCACCTCGGGCTTATATGTTCTGAGAGCATGGCTGTTGTTCTTAGCGCATTTGTGGGTTCTGAGAACATGTCGTGGTAGGCCTATAGGAATGCTGGGATGGTCGGTCCCTGCTCAAGCCCCGCTCCGGTGCGAGGCGGGGACGTATACAGAACCTCGGTAAGTCTTTCGTTTTGACCCCTCCCTTTTCTCTCGGCGGTGGATATCAGCGGCGAGCGAGGGGGGGATAAGTGAGCAGGAGAAGGCCCTCTCAGAAGGCTGCGGGACTTCTCAGAAGCCCTCGAGCCTTGAGAGAAGTTTCTTGTGTCTTCGGGGAAGGCTTAGAAAACTTCTCAGAAGTTAGGAACCTTCTGAGAAGGCCCTCTCCATCTCACTTCCCCTTCACGCTCGCCGCCGACTTTAGTTTTGACCCTGCAGCAAGGGGCCCTCCAGGGCCCCGACAGGGCCCCTAATGGTTCCCAAAGTTCGCGTCGTCGTCGTGGTCGTGGTCGCCGTCGTCGTCGTCGTGGTCGTCGTCGTCGTCGTCGTCGTCGTCGTCGTCGTCGTCGTCGTCGTGGTCGTCGTCGTCGTCGTCGTCGTTGTTCGTTGCGACGCCCGCAGTTTGTTGCGCCGCAGCGCGGCAGAGGCAGTCCGCGCGTCGTCGGAACGGGCGGGCCCTGGCGGCGGCGGGCCTCCCCGGGGCCCCCCGGGCTGCGAGCGTGGCGGCCGCGGCGTGGGAGGTTCCGAGCGCAAGGCCGCCCGACCGGCCGTCCCGGGGAGGGGCCGCGAGAGGGGGGGCCTTCCGGGGCGCCGCGGGGGGCCCCGAGGCGAGGGCCCCACGGCCGGGGCTCGAGCTGAGCGGTGTGGCGACGACGACGATGACGACCACGACGACGACGACGACGACGACGACGACGACGACAACAACGACGACCACGACGACGACGACGACGACGACGACCACGACGACGACGACGACGACGACGACGACGACCACGACGACGACGACGACGACCACGACCACGACCACGACCACGGCCACGACCGCGACGACGACCACGACGACGACGACGTCGACGTCGACGACGGTGGAGCAAACGAGGAACGAAAGAAACAGGGATAACGAATGCAAAGCGCAAACAGGAAAACACTGTTGCGCTCGAGCCCTTCCCTTCCCAAGGCTCCAGACCTCCCAAATGGGGCCCGAGTGGATTGGATCGGCCGTACAGTCGAGTTTGATCAGGAGGTCGACCCTGCCAAATCAAGGGTACCCTTGTGTCCTGTGATTGGCGACTCATGCCTTTGACTTCCTAGGGCAGTGTTGCCCTCGGAAGGGTCTTGTGTCCTCTCGCGTGTCCTCTCCAATCAAACGCGACTGTACCGCCGATTGCTTGGCGATGTGGCGTGATCAGGAGCCCATTGTTGTCCGCGCCGACGTCGCCGATGCATCGGCGATGCATCGGCGATGTGGCGCGACACTCCGATTTCATCGGTTCGAACGCCATTTGAGCGACGCCAACAACGGGGTCGTTTGCGCTGGTGTTCATGCGTAAGTTGCCCGCGGAAGGTCGCGCGTGCATAAGCGTACTCTTAATTCGGGCCTGTCCCTCTACAGGGGGAATATTAAAAAATAGCCAAATAATAGTCTGGGGACTATTTCTTAGTATTTTGGAGCATTTTTGGAGCAGTTCTGGGTTTTTGGTTTCGTCGAAAATCCTCCTGTAGGGGGACGCCCGAATTAAGCGTACTCGTCTCAACGGTAGCATGCCGCGCTGGCGGCCCGCGGAAGCCACTGCGCAGGGTCGCTGTGCCATCTCACGCAAGACTCCTTCCTGCTCCTCCTCCTCCTCCCCCTCCTCCTCCTCCTGCTCCTCCTCCTCCTGCTCCCCCTCCTCCTCCTCCTCCTTTCATCGCTCATCCGGCAGGCCTCTGAAGACGGTCGGGCGGTTGGAAGGCAGGAGTCGCCAGCCACAAAACCACCCCAGCCCAACCCGAGGGCCCCAATCTGCCTCTATTCCTAGCGTGGGGGGGGGGCGTCGAGGAGCATTGGAGAAAACACATGTGAAGCCCGTAGCCCCCTCCGACCCGAAATTTGTGTCTTCGAGTCGGGTTGGGGTGGTCTGTCCGGGAGGGGGGGCAGATGGCGGGGGTCCAGGCAGTCAGGGAGGGGGCCCAGAGGGCGGGGGTCCGTCCAGAGGCGCGGTGCTGCCACGCCCCCGCAGCCCCGCAAGGGGCGCGCGGGAGCGCCGCTGGAGAAAGCGCGCGCGCGCGCGTGCGCCGCGTCGGTGGGCGGGCTGGGCGGCAGAGGGAGGGAGGGGGGGGAGCGAGTGAGTTTGTTAGTGAGCGAGCTTATGGGTGAGCGAGAGAGAGAGAGAGAGAGAGAGAGAGAGAGAGAGAGAGAGAGAGAGAGAGAGAGAGAGAGAGGAGAGAGAGAGGAGGAGGAGGAGGAAGGAGGGAGGAGGAGGAGGAGAGGAGGAGGAGGAGGAGGAGGAGGAGGGGAGGAGGAGGAGGAGGAATGGGAGGAGGAGGAGGCGGAGGAGGAGGAGGAGGAGGAGGCGGAGGCGGAGGAGGAGGAGGAGGAGAAGGAGGAGGAGGAGGAGGAGGAGTGCCCAGGAGGACGGGCGGGTGGAGGGTGGATGATGCTGATGATGCTGCTGCTGGTGATAATGATGGTCATGATGATGGTGATGATGGTGATGATGGTGGTGATGTTGAGGACGATGATGATGAGGAGGAGGAGGAGGAGAAGGAGGAGGAAGAGGAGGAGGGTGATGATGATGTTGATACTGGTGATGGTGATGCTGACGATCGATGATTGATGGTGATTGTGATGTTGCTGCTGCTGATGATGATGATGAGGATGACGATTATGGTTATGAGGACGAAAATGGTGCTGCTTATGATGATGCTGATGATGATGCTGATGGTGATGCTGCTTGTGCTGCTGCTGCTGATGTTTACGATGCTGATGATGATCATGATGATCATGGTGATGGTGTTGGTGATGGTCATGGTGATGAAGATGGTGTTGATGATGATGACCATGGCTATACTGATGATGAGTATGCATACGATGCCGATCATGGTAATGATAATGATGATGATGATGCTGATGATGATGATGATGATGATGATGATGATGATGATGATGATCATGATGATGATGATGATGATGATGCTGGTGGTGGTGGTGGTGGTGATTTTAATGGTGACGATGATGGTGGTAGTGATGATGGTGCTGATGGTGCTGATGCTGATGCTGATGCTGATGCCGATTATGATTATGGTGTTGATGATGCTGATGATGCGCTGATGCTGCTGGTGCCGGTGATGTGCTGATGATGCTGGTGATGCTGGGGATAATGAGTCCAATGATGAGAGTGGCATTGATGTTGATGATCACGATTACGGCGATGATGCTGTTTTTGTTGACGAAGAATAGCGCTATGGGGTGATGGTGGTGAATATGATAATGATGACAATGATGATGATGTTGATGATGATGATGATGATGATGCAGATGATGATGATGCTTCTGATGATGATGCTGATGATGATGATGATGCTGCTGTTGACTGGTGATGCTGATGATGGCGGATGGGGGATGAGGGATGGTGCTGGATAATGCAGATGAGGATGGTGATGACGACGACCATGCTCATAATGGTGACGACGATGACGAGTTCGCAGGTGGTGGTGAGTTAGAAACTTATTTTTCAATAAGACGATGAGTGTGATTATAAAGGTGGTGAGGATGACGGCGATGATGATGAAGATGTTGTTGATGATGGTGATGCTGATGATGATGATAAGGAGGAGGAAGAGGAAGACAATGATGATGATCGTGGTGGTGGCGATGATGAGAAGGAGGAAGCGGAGGAGAAGTAGGAGGAGGAGAAGGAGGATGAGGGTGATTGTGGTGCTGATGGTGGTGGTGGTGGCGATGATGCTGCTGCTGCTGCTGACGACGACCACGACCACGACCAGGGCGACGACGACGACGACGACGACCACGACGACGACGACGACGACCACGACCACGACGACGACGACGACGACCACCACGACCACGACGACGACGAGGACGACGACGACGACGACGACGACGACGACGACGACGTCGGTGAGTTCGCCTTCCCCCCGCGTGCAGTCGGCCACCGCCTGCCGCGCCGCCCCGCCCTCCGCGCTCTCCGCGGCCCCCCAGGCCGTGCAGCTGTCGAAGGCCTCGGCGAGCGGCGCCGGCAGTGTGCCCCTGGCGGGCCCGCAGGGCAAGAGGAACAGGAGCGCCGCCCCGCCCTCCGGGCCCCCAGGTGGCGCGCGGCCTCGGGTCGCCCCCCCCCTCCCTTCTGGGCCGCGCACGTGCCGCCAGCCACGATTTGCGCCACCCCCTCTTGAAGGCTTCCCTTGCTCGGGGCCAGTCTGCCACCCGAGCAAGGGGATCGCCGTGAGCGAGGTCAAAGGAGGAGGGTCCACCCCGACCCCGACCATTGGCGTTTACGACACGGCACTGGCCGCACAAGGAGGCGATCAGTGTCCGCTACGTGACGCGGTGTTCTACCCGGGGACCATGATAACGCTAAACGACATGCACGCTCGGAACATCGGCGCCCCTCCGTTGGAGTGGGCGAAGCAGCTGGTGCACGCCGCGCCGACGCGCCGTAGGGCGGATGGCACACCTTCAACCCTCAACCTGGGCGTTGATTCAACAGTCCCTGGCCCTGATCGATTCCTTCCTTTGGGTGCGTTTCCTCTGCGGCTTCGCTCGTCGGGGTGCTTGTCATGAGGGGGGGATTTTCTGCCCTCAACGCAAGGGGGCCGCCGTGCAGGAGAGGGGTCCACGGCGGCGCTCAGTTCTTCGCGGGGCTCGGTTCCGACGGTATTTGGGCGATTCCGTGGGGCGGCGTCGTTTCGGTTTGAGCTGTTGCAGAGGCGGCGGAACGGACACAGCACGTGGGAGAGGCGGAGAAAACAAAGCGAACACTGAAAGCACGCTTTCTGTCGATCCCCGTTTTGGTTTTTGGTTCCGCTTCCGGGGGCCCGGATCAGGGACGCACAGCTCTCGGGGCGCGGACCGAAGACGAATCACCTCGGAGGATGTCTGGGGACGGGTTGGAGGCGGAGGCGGAGGAGGAGCTGGTGGGGGGAGGAGGCCCACCAGAGCTCTGGAGGCCCACCAGAGCTCCCCGGACTTCAGGGGGACCTCGTATGGGGGACAGGATCCGGGGCGGCAGTTCGGCTTGACGGGGAGGGGATTGATTTTTTTTTTTTTTTTTGTTGTTTTTTTTTTTAAACATTTTTGTTCTTCTTCTTCTTCTTCTTATTATTCTTCTTCTTCTTCTTCTTCTTCCTCTTCTTCTTCTTCTTCTTATATTATCATTAGTAATATTTTTCATATTATTATTATTATTTCATAATTTTCATTGTTATCATCATTGGGGGGGGGGGGGGCGGCGGAATGCCCACCGGACGGCGTCTGGGTGCTGAGCCCTTTCGCCGTTCTCGGGCCCCCGGGGCCCTCCGCGGGCCCGAGGGAGTCTCGCGGCGCGGCCGGCCCCCGCCACCACCGGCTGCCTCCCGGGGGCTGCGCGGGCCGAGGCTGGCGCTGAGTGCGCCTCGCCCTCCCTCCCCTTCTCGTGCACCCCCCCCTCGCGCCCTCCCGTCGTGTCGTCCCTTCCCTTGTTGTTTTCTCCCTCCTCTGCCACTGGGCTCCTCCTGCGTTGGTGATTTCTCTGTTCAATGTAGATATATATATATATACACATACATCTACATCTACATATTCATGTATGTATGTATACAGGTGTATTTGTTGTTATTGTTGTTGCTGTTGTTGTTGTTGCTACTATTGTTCTTGCTATTGTTATTGTGGTGGTGGTGGTGGTTGTTGTTGTGGTTGTTGTTGTTGTTATTGTGGTTGTTTCTTGTTTGTTGTTTGTTGTTTGTTGTTTGCTGTTTGATTGTGTTGGTGTTGCTGCTGCTATTGTTGCTGCTGCTGTTGTTGTTGCTGCTGCTATTGTTGCTGCTGCTGTTGTTGTTGCTGCTATTGTTGTTGTCGTTGTCGTTGCTGTTGCTGCTGTTGCTGCTGTTGTTGTTGTTGTTGTTGTTGTTGTTGTTGCTGTTGTTGTTGTTGTGGTTTTTGTTGTTGTTGTTGCTGTTGCTGCTGCTGTTGTTTCTCTTTCTTACACAAGAAATAGAGAAAAGCCATCAGGCAGACAAAGTGACACATGACGCCTCGGGACGGGAGAGACACAGAACACCGGCAAGCCTCGGGGGGGGGGGAGGGGGAGAGGCCGCGCGCGGAGGCCAGGGCCCGTGCTCCTGGGGGGCCCGCGGTGCGCTTCGCGCCGGCAGCGGGCCCAGGAGACGGGCCGGGCCCCTGCCCCATGAGGGGGGTCCACACCTTGGACGTTGCGCAATGGGGGGGGTCATAAATGGGGGGATGGCGAGGGTGGTTCGAAAAGGTACCCAAACGGTACCTAAACGAGCCCCCTGGGGCTCTGGAGGGGCCCGAAAGGGGCACGAAAGGACGAAAGGGAACCTTTTCTGACCCCCCCGTTTATGACCCCCCCATTAAGCCACGCCCAAACACCCCCTGCCCGGGAGGTCGAGCGGGGGGGATCGGCCACAGCACCGATCTCCCCCAAGCCTGATTTCTTCGTCGACCCTGCGCAGACACGTATTCCGAATGACCCGCACATCCACGAGCACTCCACGCAGATCTCTCTCGCAGCTTCGACGCGGCAAGCAAGTAATTGGGCGAAACCAATTCTGTGGTCGATCCCCTGTTCGAGAAGGGGAGAGGGGCGGCGGGGGAACAGGGGACGGGGTTCAGTCGGGCCTGTCCCTCTACAGGAGGAATATTCACAAGTAGTCAAACAATAGTCTGGGGACGAGTTTCTGATTATTGAATCGCTTCGCTCATTCCGCCGGCCCATAATTGCATGCACTTGTCGACTGACCGAGTGGTCTTTCGAGGTGCGGAGCTGTAGGGGCGGCGGCTGTTTTTATCTGGCTTTGCGTTCGGCATGTGAGGCTTCTTGGTGGCCGCTGGGGGAGTCTTGAACGCGTCGCCGGCCGTCTGGAAGCGTTTTGCCTATGGGTACTCTTTCGGGAGGCCTCTTGGTGGCCTCGTGGGGACTCTTAAACGCGTCGGGTCGTTGGCACTTGCTTGCGTGCTCGGGGGGGGCATTTGGGGGGCCTCCTGGGGCCGCTTGGGGCGTCTTGGAGGCCTCCTGAGGGCCTGTTGGGGGCCTCTTGGAGCCTCTTAGGGGCCTCTTGGGGACTCCTGGGGCCTTCATAGGGCCGAGGGCTTGAAATTTTGTTTCATGTTCCCTCCCTGGGACCTCTCTTGGGGCGTTCTTGGGGCCGTCTTGGAGGCCTCTTGGGCCGTCTTGGAGCCATCTTGGGCCGTCTTGGAGCCCTCTTGGGGGCCTCTTGTGCCCTCCTGGGGCGGTCTTGGGGGCCTCTTGGGCCGTCTTGGGGTGTGGGGACTCCTGGGGCCTTTTTCGGGCCAAGAGCTCGAAAGGTTGATTTGTGTTCCCCCCCTGGGACCTCTCTTGGGGCGTTCTTGGGGCCTTCTTGAGCCGTCTTGGAGGCCTCTTGGGCAGTTTCGGGGCCATCCTTGAGCCCTCTTGGGGGTCTCTTGGGTCCTCTTGGGGCGGTCTTGGGGGTCTCTTGGTCCGTCTTGGGGTTTCGGGAAGCCGAAAAAGTGGAAGCGCCAAAACCTGTTCAAAACCTCGGGAAACAAAAACCATGTTTTTTGCCTCCTAGGGCCCTCCTGGGGCCGCTTGGGGGCCTCTGGGGGCCTCCTGGGGGCCTGTTGGGGGCGTCTTGGGGTTTCATGAGCATCTTGGGGACTCCTAGGGCCTTCTTAGGGCCGGGAGCTCGAAATGTTGGTTCGTGTTCCCCCCCTGGGACCTCTCTTGGGGCGTTCTCGGGGCCTTCTTGAGCTCCTTGGAAGCCTCTTGCGCCGTTTCGGAGCCATCTTTGGCCATCTTGGAGCCCTTTTGGGGGCCTCTTGGGCCCTCTTGGGGCGGTCTTGGGGGCCTTTTGGGCCGTCTTGGGGGTTCGGGAAGCCGAAAAGGTGGAAACGCCAACACAATCTGTCCAACACCTCGGGAAACAACAACAAGGTGTTTTGCCTCTTGGGGCCCTCTTGAGAGTGCTCTGGGTGGCGTGTTGGGCCGTCAGGGGGGCATCTTGTGCGTCTTGGAGCGATATTGTGGCATCTCGGAGCTATATTGTATCACCTTGAGGGGCTCTTGGGGGCCTCTTGGCCTTTCTTAGGGCTCTCTGGACGGCCTCGAGGGCGGCGCCCAGGAGGAAAACCACCTCTGATCCGCAGCGCCCGGGCTTCGCCCGGATTTTTTCCTTCCGGGGACCCCCAGGGGCCTCCCCGCGCGCGCTAAGTAGAATTATAGTAACGCAGTTACCGGAGATCTCAGCACGCCTCTGGCCCGTTGGGCCGGCGAATTTTGAAACCATTTCGGGGTATTTCGTTTGATTTGTTGAACGTTTCGTCCAAAAGCCCCCTGCAGGAGGACAGGCCCGACTTCAGGATGGGGGGGTCCCAGAAGGCAGGCTGGGTGGCGGTCGACGGACAACGATCGTTCGCAAGTGCTGGCGCAAGCGCGCGCGCCACATGCCCTGTGCACGCCCTCGGCGCTTGTCTAAACTCCCGCCCTGACGGCGACGCCCCGTGGGCTGGCTGGTGCGCCGCCAGCGTACGCAGCGCATTGAGGGCGGGTCTGCGCCACGTGGCAGTAGGCGACGCAGACGCCTATGGTACCCACTCATTACGTGGGGGCCATGCTCGAGACATTGTAGAGTTCGGCGGTCGTGTGACCGACATATTGAAGACGGGTGATTGGGAGATGCCAGCTTGGACGCGCGACCTTGGCATTGAGAAGATGGAGCGCCCAGCCGTGGCTGAGGCGCACTTCGGCGCATCGTCCAGCGACGACGAACGAGGGGAGGCCGTGCCTCCCGGCGTCCGGTGACGCTAGTGCGCGCACGCTTGCTGCTGCCGCGACTGCGGCAAGCCATCGCGCGCTCGTTCACTACTGTCTGGTCCGTCGTTCGTCTCTCAAGGGCTGCGGGTCTGCGGCCGCATCTCTGCCTGGCAATGGGTGGCAGCGGGCCCGTGGGCGCCGCAAGCCCGCTGGGGCTGCGCTCGTCCTCAGCCCCTGGGTCCGTGGCAGTGGGTTGGTGCCCATGTGCTTCGGCCTGCGCCCTGGCGCCGTCGGCGCCCCGCGCGACGGCGGGCGCCCGCATGTCCACCC